TTCATCTTCAACTTCATCTTGTTGGTTTTCAATTTGTTTTTGTTGAAAATTATTATTATTTTCAATACTTATTTCTTCTTCATTAATAAAAGTAACTGCATGAAATCTATTACTTCTTTTTATTTTTTCTCTTTCAATAGCCAAATGATATTCTTTGTTATGACATTTTTCAAAATGATTTTTAAGATTTGTTAAATTAGTATCAATAGGATAATTTGCTTCACATTTGTTACAAATAAGCCTTGTTTTTAAAGTATTAATACGAAAATAGTTTCGAATTTCATGTGGAGTTCTCATTTTGTTTTTGATTTAATGGATATTCTTTGATAACAAATTTATATTTTTTTATTCATATATTAATAAATTAAAATTTTTCTATAAATCGAATTTGAAATAATTTTAAAATCGAAAAAGTTTTTCTTTTCTTAATATGGAAATTCCAAAAATGTAAAAAATTCTAAATTCGAAATTTAATTCTAAATTCGAAAATATGAACCAATTAAATTTTAGTAATTATTACTAATTTAGTAATAAAAATTCTTTAAATATGTTAAATTTTTTTATAATCAGTAAAATGTCTCAACATCGTAAATTATCAATTATTTCTGAAACTCCAGTATCTTTTGAAAATAAAATGTCTAATAAAAGAAAATTTGTTGAAACAGAACTTTATCTTGAATCTCAAGAAGAAATAAAAAAACTTAAACAAGAATTAAAAGAAATTCAAGAAAATGAATCTCAAGAAATAAAAAAGCTTAAACAAGAATTGCAAGAGAATCAAGAAGAGCTTTTTTTTGAATCTCAAAGACTTCAAGAATTGAAAGAAATAGAAGATGAAATACGAGAAGAAAAATACAAAGAAATTATTAATAGTCTACAAGAAGAAATAATTTGTAAAAATTCTTGTATTGAAGATTTGATAGATCGTATTGTTTGTTATAATGCACATTTTGGTAAAGCATTTGAAATTTGCCAAAATTTATATGATCAAGAAAAATTATATTCTCAAGTTAATGAGGTGATTAATGATTTTACAAATGAATCATATTTATTTTCTAATGTTGAAGAAGATGCTGAAAAAATAAATAAACAAGAAGAATTTATTAATTGGGATTTAAATGAAAAAGAAATTTTTTGATTATTAATTTATATTTTATTAATTTATTCATGTATTTATATATTTTATTAAATAAATAAAATTTTATATTAAACTAAACATCTAGTAAAATTTTAACTAATAGAATAATGAGGTCAATTTTTAAATCTATTAAAAAATGACTGATTTTTTCAATTCTTCTAGAACCTAATCTTGAAATTTAACATGCAGATAAAGGTGAGTGACAACAACTACCAGAAAAAATTTTAGCTCATTTGAATTGATGATAGTTAAGAAATTTGCATTTTTCGTTTTTCTCTATAGGAGTTGATGAAAATAAAGAAAAAACATCTGATTTTTGTAATTCTTCTAGAAACCAATAGTGAAATTTAATATACTGATAAAGGTAAGTGATAAGAACTACCAGGAAAAATTTCAGCTTGGTTGGTTTGGTATTGGCTAAGAAATTTACATTTTTCATTTTTCTCTAAATAGAATTGATATAAATAACAAAAAAATGTCTGATTTTTTTAATTCTCCTAGAAACCAATCTTGAAATTTAATATGCAGATAAAGGTGAGTAACAACAACTACCAGGAAAAATTTCAGCTTAATTGGTTTGGTATTGATGAAGAAATTTACATTTTTCATTTTTCTTTATATACATCTTTGAACCTTTTATTTGTAAATCATAGTTGTAAAATTGCTATCACTTGAGAAATCACGTTTTACAGAAATTTTATTATGATAATCGACTTTATGTTAATAACAAAAGTTGTAGAACTTATCAAAAAAATTGTAGTTTCATAAAACCACTTTTATTATTTTATTAATAAAATTTTGAGTTATCATTGATTTTATGTCTCACAAATTTTTTTTCTAATTTAATATATTATGCATTTTTATTGGTGATCATCATGTGATCAACACGTAGATCACTGATTGTTTATTTATTCGATTGTTTTGATTTTTATTTTTTTCTCTAGGTGTTTGTTTTTCTTACACCATAAGGCATATTGTATATGAAACAGTTCTGGATTCTATATAAAATAATAAGACCACATATAGCTGTTGACGGGTTGACTATTAATACTATCAGCCTCTGGTTATATTCTAGGATATTTCTAAGTCTTAGTGGCTAGTAATCTTTGTACAGGGTAAGCATTTGCTTCACCTACCCGCACAAACTGGTCAATAGGTAAATTCTTCCCTATAATATCCGAATCCTATTACACCTTATAGTGCCTTAGAGGCTATTATCTTATTATTTCATATAGGTAAGGATTGTTTTGATATGGGTTGGTGCCTACGAATATGTCCCTCACCAAAATTTCTTGATATGTAACCACCAAGTGGCGAGATTTGGTAATATACATTTTTTTGTAAGGCTAATAACATATCATTTAAAATATTTAAAAATTTTTTTTATAATTATTATAAAATTAAATTTTTATTAAAATAAAGGAAAAATTTTAGTTAAATTGGTCTGGTATTGATAGAGAAATTTATATATTTTGTTTTCTCTATAGAAGTTGCTGTAAATAATGAAAAAACGTCTGATTTTTTTAATTCTTCTAAAAACTGGTATTGAAATTTAATATACTGATAAAGGTAAGTGATAACAACTACTAGGAGAAATTTTAGCTTGATTGGTTTGGTATTGGCTGAGAAATTTATATTTTTCATTTTTCTTTATATAGAATTGATGTAAATAATGAAAAACCGTCTGATTTTTTTAATTCTTCTAGAAACCAATCTTGAAATTTAACATGCAGATAAAGGTGAGTGATAACAATTACCAGAAAAAATTTCAGCTTAATTGATTTATATTGGCTGAGAAATTTATATTTTTCATTTTTCTCTATATAGAATTGATGTAAATAATGAAAAAACGTCCGATTTTTTTAATTCTTCTAAAAACCAATCTTGAAATTTATCATGCAGATAAAGGTGAGTGATAACAACTACCAGGAAAAATTTCAGCTTGATTGGTTTGGTATTGGCTGAGAAATTTATATTTTTCATTTTTCTCTATATAGAATTGATATAAATAATGAAAAAATGTCCAATTTTTTTAATTCTTCTAGAAACCAATCTTGAAATTTAACATGCAGATAAAGGTGAGTAACAACAACTACCAGGAAAAATTTCAGCTTGATTGGTTTGGTATTGGCTGAGAAATTTACATTTTTCATTTTTCTCTATATAGAATTAATGTAAATAATGAAAAAACGTCTGATTTTTTCAATTCTTCTAGAAACCAATCTTGAAATTTAACATGCAGATAAAGGTGAATAATAACAACTACCAGAAGAAATTTTAGCTTAATTGATTTGGTATTAGCTGAGAAATTTACATTTTTCATTTTTCTCTATATAGAATTGATGTAAATAATAAAAAAACATCTGATTTTTTTAATTCTTCTAGAAACCAATCTTGAAATTTAACATGCAGATAAAGGTGAGTGATAACAACTACCAGGAGAAATTTTAGCTTAATTGGT